GAAGAGTTCCCGAAGCCTTAGCCATGTCAAAATTTCTTAGTACCTTTGCAGGCGACATGAAATTAGAGATATGCTATTGAACCAGTTTGACAAGCGTTTCCCAAATGATGATAGTTGCATAGACTATTTTCGGAGGATAAGAGAACCTGCGCTTCCGCATTGTCCGAAATGTGGTTGTGCAAATTATAACTGGGCAGCAGGCAAGCAGGCTTTTGAATGCAAAGAATGCCGACATCGAATCCCTCTTACCAAGGGAACGGTTATGGAATACAGCAAGCAATCTCTGCGGTCCTGGTTTTACACTATGCACTTGATGACTTCGATAAAACAGGTTCTTTCTGCCAAGGAAGTCCAGCATCAACTTGGCATGGAACAGTATCCACCAGTCTGGCTTATGATGATGAAACTAAGGGACATCATGGGTAAACGTGAGAACATCTATCAACTTTCAGGAGAAGTGGAGCTTGACGAGGCGTTCTTCCCAACCAAACTTGATGATGAAGACCGAGGAAAACCGTTAAAGCGAGGCGCGGGAAGCCAAAGACAGACAAGAGTCCTTGTCATTGCAGAGAGCAAACCTATTGATAATGTGCTACTTGAGTACCTTTTACGCCCCAAGGAGAATACTAATGAGAAAATCTCCGCTCTTCTGAAGAAAGCCAAGGGCCAGTCTGTCAAGAAGGTAGTTCATTACATCAAGATGTTCGTCATTGATGACCAGAAGGCAACAACTATCGACAAGATTGTGGGTAGGAATGTTAGCAAGTTCACTACCATTGTAACAGACGGTTCAGCATCACATGTGAATTTTGAGCGTGACTTCCAAGGACATGAGGCTCACATAGAGGATAACGCCGACGAGGTCGTTCGCAATGTACTTCCGTGGGTGCATATAATAATAGGAGAATGCAGGAACGGAATTGCAGCCATCCATAAAGAGGTGGACAAAAGATTCCTGCAACTGTACCTGAATGAATATTGTTGGAAGTTCAACAGAAGATTCTTTCGGGACTCCACCGATCCCAGATATGACTTGTTTGACAGACTTGTTAGAATAACTGCCATATATAAGTCCGACATCATGTGGAGAGATTACTCCAAAATGTCAGAGGAAGAGGATATTTGAGGTTCGGGAACTCTTCACCATACAGAGTAAGCATTAAA